CGCGGCCACGCCCCCCGCCCGGCGCACCCTCCGCCGCCTTGCCAGCCGCGCGCGGCCGCCGGGGGCGGGGTCTGGGCCGGAGGAGCCGCCCCCGGCGCGCCCACTCCGGCCCTGGAGCGCGTCCCCGCCTGCTTCCCGAAGCGCGCCGTCCCCACGCGGGGCCCCCAGCCGGAGACCCCGCCTCCGGTCCCTGCGGCGCGCACCCCCTTGCCCTTCTCGGAGTACCCCCTCCCCACGCCGGCAAGCTCCGCCTTTCCCCGGTAGGATCCTCCCTCCCGGGAGCGCCCCGCCCCATCTCGGCACGCCCCTCCCTCCCTCCCAGGACGGCCCCACCCCCTCCCAGCGCAGCCCTCCCTTCTCGGTGCGCGCCCCGCCCCCTCGCGGGCGCGCCCACCCCACGCCAGGGCGCGCGGCCGGCGGGAGCCCGCCCCTTACCCGGACGCTTCCACCCTGGCCCCGGGCGCGTCCCCGTTCTCGATGGGGGAGGGCTTCGCTCCCCACGTGGCCGGGTGGGGGTGCGGAAGCGGCCAGCCCCGCCCCCCGGCCACGTGCGCGACCCTTCCCCCTCTCCTTTACCCTGACCTGGGCCCTGCTAGACCGCGCTCCCCTTTGCTCTTTCGCCCCTTTCCCGGAGCCCCGCGGCTGGGCAGGAGGAGTAGGGCGCCCCGCCCAGCCGGGTCCGGCGAACCTGCGTTCGTTTCTCTTCCTGCTCCCCCCTCGGGAGTCACTTGTGCGCACCTCACGAGGGGTGGGGAGGGTCGGTGTCTGCTGGAGAGGAACTGGGTCCTGGGGGTCGGGAAGAGGAGCCGGATGGGGTTGCAAAGGACTGGGCGAGGCAGAGCGTTCCGGCCCTGCCAATACACGGGGTTGGGAACATCGCTCCCCGCCGCTGGGCAGGGATCCTTGGGACTCGGAGTGGGAACAGTGGGGCCTGTGGAAACCCTGAGCACGTCCGGGCCAGGTAGCTCAATGGGGAGGGCGCAGATGGCCGGGGTCAGCCAAGCCAGAAGTCCGAGGCCGGGGTCACGCGGAAGTGGGACAACAGGGTGGCCCTCTCCGCGGCGACCACGGCCCCGCCCCTTCCTAGGCTTGCTGTGGGGAACGAGCGATGGCCAGAGCGGCCTCCTGGGAGCACAGCTGCTTCGGCCACCCCGGCCCCATCGGCCCCATCCTCGACTCCCTCTTCATTCTGCCGCCTCGCTGGCCGCTAGCCGACCCGCAAGGCTCTTGCCCCTGTCTGCTCCCGTCTGGGCCCCCCACCCCCACCCTGCACGTGGCTGTACAGGGAAGGGCTAGAGATACAGTGTTGACTAAAGGCTGCCCAGACAAAGTACTGCCACTTTGACAGACCAGTCCCTTTTTCCAGGCCGTGGACCATCCAAGCGGGCACTTGGCGGGCACTGCAGTCATCATTCCTGCCGTGCTGGGCCCCCCTATGCCCCCTGTGCCCTTGAAGGTCTCGGAGGTGAGCCGCCTGGGCGAGTCCCCAGTCCCCCAGCAGCCCTCAGGGGCCTTAGGCGCCCCACTGCCCATAGGTGCTGCCCAGCTTACACCAAGCACGGGGGCAAGCCACAGAACAAGAAAGAGGCCAGGACCCATTTGTTGCTTCCAGGGATGTTTATTGTGCCTAGAGCGATCCCCCCAACAATGTGCCCTCAAGGGGCTCAAGATCTAGGGCAGGGCAGCTGGGAGCCAGGAAAGGGGTGGGTGGGTGGGCACAGGCCTGCCGAGTGGAGGAAGGGGGTGGGGAGAAGTGCCCCACAGGCAGCCCCACCTGGGGCCTCCAGCAGGCGTGGCAGGGGGCTGCACTCAGGGCTGCTGCAGGGACATGGGGTGATGGCTAAGGAGGTGCCTTCTTCCTATGGGCAGAGGGTGTGAGTAGACAGGTCAGGGCTGCCATCCTGGTCATCCCCAGCAGGCTGCATGGCTCCAGACAAGACATGCCTCCCAGCAATTAGCAGGATCTCAGACCTGCGGACTTCATCGGTGGGCCATGCTGGCTGCTCTGCAGGCAGGAGCCCCTGTACGGGGGCCTGTGTTCTACCCAAGGGACGTGTGTGCTCACACCCTGAGCAACCCGCGTGTGTACAAGCCCCAGCGCCCGCTGATCCCCGCCCCACGCGGGCTCCACGCTCACCTCTGCCTTGTTACTCTCTTCTATGACCCTTTGAGTTGTCACCCCCATTTCACAGATGAGGAAATCAAGTCCAGCAGAGGCTGGAGAAGTGGGCAAAGCTGAGACAGTAGAGAGTTTGGGGGAAATACTGAGGTGGCCCGAGCACTTGTGGCAGCCAGTCCCTCCCTTCTTCCTGTCTCTGCCCTGCTCTGGTGGCACTCACGGGGTCAGGAGGGCACTCACCCGGCTGCAAGACCAGAGCGGGGCAGGGGGCAGTCACTGGCTATGGAGGGGAGGCAGGCCTGGGGGCCACAGGTGAGCAGAGATGCCCCAGGCACCTGTGCCCACAGGGAAGGTGCCCCAGACAGGACAGGCTCAGAACCAAGGCTGCAGTGTATGAGTGTGTGTGTACGTGAACATATGTGAATATACGTACATGTGTATACACATGCTGGGATGGCCCTAGCTTCTCTTAAGACAGTAAAGACTTCACATTTGGTTTTAATAGTTTTAGTAATACTTTCTATACCATTCGACTTTTTTTTTGAAACCCATGCATATTTATTACTTTTATTCTTTTATTTTTAAATTTTTTTTTAAGTAGGTTCTACACCCAGCACGGAACCCAATGTGGGGCTTGAACTCAGGACCTTGAAATCAAGACCTGAGCGGAGATCTGGTAGGAGGCTTAACCAACTGAGCCCCCCAGGGGCCCCCTTTTGTTCTTTTTAAATGTCAGCAGGTACCAAGCCGTGTCATTACAGGCCATGCGTCCTTTCTTTTTTATGCTTTTCTATATGAAAAACTATTTTCTAAATAAATCCCCCCCCCCCAAGTGTAGGCTGGACTCAGGGACTCACTTCCAAAGAACAGAGCAGGGAAGGGGAGGGCAATGACCTGAGTGTGGGATGACTGGCAGACCACACCTTAGCCCTTGGTCAAGATCAAGGTCAACTTCAGGGTGACGTCTGGGTAGCATCAGGGACCCTTGATGGGAGATGACAGGAAGACTCAACTCTCTACTCTCTCTCAACTCTGTGTTCTTCTCCAAAACCCATAACCCTTGTCTAACCTCATCCCAGATTAGGGAACATCTTACAAAATCCCTGAGCAGTCCCCCAAACTGTCAAGATCATGAAAAACAAGGAACAACTGAAGAAGTGTCCTAGATTTTGAGAGTAAGGAGACAACATGGTTCCATAGCTGCTGGAACAGAGAAGGACCTTAGTGGAGGAGGCCAGGAGACTGGACTAAAGTCTGGAGTGCAGTGAATGCAAATATACACAGGTGCATTTCCTGCTTCTGACGAGCTGTCGACGGGAGGGGCACCAGGTGAAGGGTACATAGGACTCCATACTGCCAAAGTATTCCAAGATGGAAATTTTAATATTTTTTTAAGTCCTCTCTATGCCCAATGGGGGCTCAAACTCACAACCCCGAGATCAAGAGTCACACACTCCACCAATTGAGCCAGCCAGGCGCCCTCAAGATGAAAATTTTAAAACAAACACGAAGAAGGGCGCCTCAGCATCTGACTCAATCTCCGCTCAGGACTGGATCTCAGGGTCATGAGGTCAAGCCCAGTGTTAGGTTCCACACCCAGTGTGGAGCCTACTTAAAAATAAAATAAATAAATGTTTAAAACAGACATGGAGAGTGAACACAGGAGTCCTATTTATAATGAGAGCTGCATTAAGATATTAGCAGCTCATTTTGGAGGCACCATGGAGTTTTACCCTCCCTTGCTTGTCAAACTGTAAATGTGGTGCCTTTGACCCACCAATTCCACTCCTAAAAAGGTACCCCAAAAATACCCCTAGGGAATCTAGCATGTCTGTATACTCTTGCGTTGTTTCTAATGGGAAAAAAGAAGGAACCCCACTGGGCCTTACTGAGTTAGGAGGCCGTGGCCGTGGGAGGACCAGGGCACAGAGCTTCCAGCAGGCCCCGGCTCCCCTGGTCTCCACCTGACCTGCTGAGAGGAACTTCTTGCAGACCCTCTTCTCTCACACAGGGTCAAGAGGTGCTCCACAGGGCTCTGTGGTCTCCACAGGGAGTACCCTGGCTCGGCCCCACTGAGCCGAGTGACGGCAGCCAGGCCCTGACCCCCCAGGTCTCACCAGCATGGGCTCCAGACACACAGGCTCTGGTCTGTGGGTGGCCTGGTGCCAGGCACTGGGGTCTGGCAGCAAAGAGTTCGCTGTCTGGCAGGGGCGCACCCGTGTCCAAAGGCTATCTGAGCATCATGGGAGCCCAGGGTATAAGCCCCACAGGGGTCCCAGGACCTCTCTGGGAGCAAATTGGCCTGAGCTATTTCCCTTGTAAGTGGAGACAGTGGGGACAGCAACCTGGTGACCCAGGGTTGTCATAAAGACTGACTGGGCTTGAGACAGGAGCTCTGAAATGGAAAGGGACCCTGATGCTGGGTTCGCACCCCCTCCAATGCAGTCCCACAGCTCCCAGGCCGGCCCCGCACCCCAACCATGAACCTGCCCTGCGGGAGCACCCA